GTGACCTACATTTGAAAATCAGCCAATGAAAACCCTATACCGTGTTGCATGGGATCACTATGAGTTGGGGACCGACTCCACAGCAGCTAACAATAACATGAATCAGGTTCTATATTAGGCACTCTACTTCATCCCATTTGTTTTCCACTCTATTACTATGAAAGAGGTATCATTAAACCATTTTCCCCTATTATGACACTATGACTCAAAGAGAAAGTGCCTTGCCTGAGGTATGTTCTTCCGGAATGAAGAAGCAGGAACAGTGGCAAGCAGCTATATCAGAGTGGATAACTAGCAAGGGGGCGAGCAGTGAGCAAAGATGGAATGAAACAACCTCAACCACTGCCAATTGCAGAAGCTTGGGAGCACTCCCTAGACAAGGGGAGCCATGCTCAAGAGTCAACCACCACCCACAGCCACTTCTAGAAAGGAGTGATGCCCAGTCCCTGGGAAGTTCTTTTTCTTGTGTCTTTTAATTTAAAACATTTTTTTATGGTGGTAAAATGTATAACATCAAATTTGCCGTTTTAACTATTTTAAGTGTATAATTCAGTGGCACTAGTTATATTAACAATTTTGTGCAACCAGCACCACTATTTATTTTCAAAACTTTTTCATCACCCCAAACAGAAACTATAGCCATTAAGCAATACCTCTCCATTCTTTCCTCCCCCAACTCCTGGCAACCACGAATCCACATTTGTCTCTATGCATCTGCCTATTCTAGATATTTCATGTAAGTGGGATCATACAGTATGTGTCCTTTTTGTGTCTGGCTTATTTCCCATTCCACATGTTTTCAAAGTTCATCCATGTATCAGATCATCTTTTACGACTAATATTCCATTATATAAATATACCCCATTTTTGTTTATCCAGTCATCTGTTGATGGACACCTGGGTTGTTTCCACCTTTTGCCTTTGTGACTAGTGCTGCCTGGGGGGTGAGAAAAGAGCAGAGTAGGGAATGAGAACGACCATCTAAGTCCTGTGGGCGATCCAGCATTGTTTGTAAACACCCGTCTGAATGTCTGTGGGATACTGATATGGCTTTGAACCTCAGTCCTTTCTTGTTCCCTCTGACCTGAGGCTGGCAGCTGGCCCTGTCCTGGAGACCTGTCTTATGCAACTTGGAAAGCCACAGCAGCCCAGCTGGCATCTGCAGCCTCTAAGGACTCTCACCCCACATACACTGTGCTTCCATGAGCACGTGGTAGAGGCAAACACTCAGGGAACCATTGTGCATCTCTGCTCTGAGTTCCCACGCCTCATGCCCAATGGCTCATTGTCCTTTTCCACACCTATTAACCCCTCCTAGAACTGAGCAAAGTTCAGCTTGGCTCATCATACACATACGGAGATGAGATTAAATGGTGAATGAGATTAAATGGTGACGATGGTTAAACGGGGGAATGACTACTGTATTCACTGTCAAGAAATTCTTTTCTCTAACTTCTCTCATAGCTCCTTCTTGGTCTCCTTTGAGGGCTTATCTTTCCTTCAACTGCCACATAAATGATGCATTTCCCTAGGCTTCTCTTCACTCTCCCCAGCTGATTTCATCCACTCCTGTGGTTTCAACTACCACTGTTTACCCCAAACCTAGTCTAGACCTCTCCCCTGGGACTCCTTCCCTCCGACTGCGTATGTGCCAACCACCACCACCAATGCAGTGTACCTATTGCTGTCGAGTTGATTCTGACTCATAGCAACCTCATAGGACAGAGTAGAACTGCCCCATAGGGTTTGCAAGGAGCGGCTGGTGGGTTCGAACTGCCAACCTTTTGGTTAGCAGCCAAGCTCTTAACTACTGCGTTACCAGGGCTCCAAGGCATTGTATGGGACTCTCAGATTCAACATGTCTCAAATTAACATTTCACTCAAGCTTTTATTCCTCTTGTATCTCTTACTGCTTAAGCCGGAAATTAGCCTAGGTTCCTTCCTCTCCCATACACCAATGGGCAGATTCTACTTCTTGACTCTTTAGAATCTCTCCTCTCTATTCTCATTATGCCTGTCTTAGAACAGACCCTTCTCGCCTGGATAATTCCAACAGCTCCTAATTGGTTTTACATCTCCAGCCTCACCTCTTTCCTAGTCATCATCCACAATACAGCTGGACATTCTTCCTAATCTAAAACACAAAAGCATTTGTCATTCACCTGTCAAGAGCCAGCACTATCTCCTCATTGCTGATAGGTGATTTGGCCCACTATAAGTCAGGTTTGGTTTTTTTTTTTTTTTCTTTTTTGCCTGTGAAGGAGCCCTGATGGTGTCGTGGTTAAAGCCATTGACTGCTAACTGAAAGGTCAGCAATTTGAAACCACCAGTGGCTCCACAGGAGAAAGATGTGGCAGTCTGCTTCCTTAGAGATTTACAGCCTTGGAAACCCTATGGGGGTCGCTATGAATTGGAATTGACTCAACGGGTGGTGGTGGGTGGTGGCCTGTGAAGCCTCAGTTACTTGCTCCTCCCACCTCTTCCACGTCCCATTTTGTGTTTACCTGCAGGTGCGCTGTTGTTGTTAGGTACCTTGGAGTCTGCTCGACTCACAGCGACCTTATGTTGCATCTATTGTGTCGATCCATCTCATGGAGGATTTTTGCCTTATTCAACTACTTCCTTTAAGACTCCACTCAAAAGCCACCTCTTCGCTGATAGGGAGCCAACTCCTTTTTAAAAGCAGTAAATAAAGGGAAAAGATTGAGCATTATCTGCCTTTTTTGTACAAACCGCACCTCAGGACAACGAACTTGTGGATGGGAAGAAGATTTTTCTATAGATGTATTTCAGGTAGGAGCCCTGCTGGCGCAGTGGTTAAGAGCTCGGCTGCTAACCAAAAGATCGGCAGTTCGAATCCACCAGCTGCTCCTTGGAACTCTTTGGGGCAGTTCTACTCTGTCCTATAGGGTCGCTATGAGTCGGAATCAACTTGATGGCAGTCGGTTTGGTTTTTTGGTTTTATTTCAGCTGAGGAAGGAAGCATAGAATTAGAATATCACCATTTTGCAATTCCCAATTAATTAATGGGTCCAGGAAATGATCAACAGCTGCTAATAACCAAAGCAGACGCTGTGTTCCTCTCAGGATGAAACACATCACACCTGAATCTAATCAAGCCTGCGGTGTCAACTATCAATTTAGAGAAAACACTTGAGACAGAGAAACATGTTAAAAATAGGCTTTGAACCGGTTCATTCTGGTTTGAACCCCTGCTGAGAATTTGCATTTCCACCCCAGAAATACTGAATCAGAACCTACGATTTAACAAGATCCCCAGGTGATTCTTTTGTATAATAAATTTTGAGAACCACTGCTCTACTAGTGGTTGTCAGAACCGGTCCCTAACAGCAGCATTAGTATCGCCTGGGAACTTGTTAGAAATTCAAATTACTTAAAAGACACCAAGGAGATATAATCAGCAAAATACAGAGTATGGGAAACTATAGGAAAAAAGACCCAGTTTCTTCAACAAATTGCAAGGGAAAAAATGAGTAGAGGGGGAACCTACAGATTTTAGAAGAGACTTAAAGAGGCATATCAGGTAAATGCAATGTGTGGGGCCTGGTTTGGATTCTGAATCAATGAAACAAACTATTTTAAAAAAATAGAAAATTGGACCAGTATTTGGATAAAATTAAAGGATTATTAATTTTTTAGATGTGATAATGGATTATTGTTATGTTAAAAAAAAGTCCTTACATTTTAGAGAAGAAATCATGTTCTAGGAATTGCTTTAAAATAATCTAGGGAAGGGGAGTGGTTGAGGTATAGATG